GGAGATTATGTCTTGAATCGATGTGGAAACGCTACTTTTACTCTTTGGCATGATGATTTTAGTTGGTATCTTGTCAGAGACTGGTCTCTTTGACTATTTGGCAGTTTACGCATTTAAGGTTTGATTCCGATCCATAATTCATTCTTGATCAAATTTTAAAATTCTGCCCAAATAGATGAGAAAGGGCGAACCTTGGCCTCTCATTTATTGTTTGTGTCTATTCACTGCCATTTTTTCGGCACTTTTGGATAATGAGACGACACTTTTATTCATGTCACCTGTTTTTATTCGCTTGTGTGGAATAATAGTTGAATTTTACTGTTGATTTTATTGGATGGGCGTGATATGGAGACAATTTTAGAGCGAGCTGAATGGTCAACATTACTGTTCCTCTCTGTTTTATTCAATTTCATGGAGGCTTTAGCCAAGCTCAGTCTCATCGAATGGATTGGAACACAAACGGAGAACGTTATTCTGATGGTCAGTGAAGAGTTTCGTTTGACCGTTGCCCTTCTTATCATTTTGTGGGTTCCGGCCATTGGATTGGCATTCGTAAATAACATACCACTCACCACAATGATGATTAGAGTCATCATTTCATTGTCAGAGAAAGCAGACCCAAATCTGCCTTTGCAACCACACATTTGGGCATTGACCATTGGAGCTTGTTTAGGCGGTAAAAAAGGGATATTATATTTTGCCATTTATTTATTTAATTACTTCCTGGTTGCTATTGGTAAATTCTATTCAACTTAAATTACTGTTTCATGACCACATTACTGAGATTCTGATGTTTGTTATCACATAAGAGTCATCGGTGTTCTTGTACAAATTACCAGTGCATATATGTACATTTTTAGGACCAAATTCTTATTATATTCAAATTCAATATTTTCGATGATATTTCGTTTGTTGTCTTCTAGGAAACGAAACACTAATTGCTGCTTCAGCAAATGTTATATGTGCTAGTGTTTCTGAGCAGCACGGACATTGGCCTTACATTCAATGTATTTTTCAAGTATGTCGTCTTAGGATCAATCGATTTAGGTACATTCTGTTAAGATTAGATTTTTTTTTAATTTTCCACAGACTTGCATTCCCTGCGATGATTGGCAGTTTAGTTGTAGCCAGTGGATATCTACTTGTTTGCCATGTATGCTTCACTTGGCATTAAATGTCTAGAATTTGATTTGCTGAGCAGTACATGATAAACGAAATTTTCCTACACGAGAAAATTCTTCTTAAGAGAAAAACACCGATTTGCTAACGCAAACCAAATTTGAAGTCCAAATATTATTTATTGAGATGTAATGTTAGTCTTGAGGACAACAAAATTCAAGGATGGTCCATACAATAAGTCTTATTCGATACATTAGATGGAAAACTACAATTTATTCGAAATGAAATATGCATATTTGTTATCAAATTTAGAAATTAGATGCAAAAATAATGGAGTTTAAATTCATATATGAAATGATGGTTCATTTTTTGGATTTTTTTCTTATTTAGATTGTTTTAGTTGAATAGCAGCGAGACTTGAGCTTTGACATCTTGAATGATAGTTAGAATCTTCAGCCCATCGGACTATTCTATTCTAGAATAAAATGGTCGTAATGTGTGTGGCAGTTTGACTGCGTAAGAATCACGGCGTCGTATTTCGATCAACTCGAGGTTGATTTCCACTCCTGCCCATTTCGTCGCCAAGTAAACGTCCTCTGTAACGTATATTGTTACTTTTCGTGCTCCATTCAGATTTTTCCGTTCTATATTCAGTAATATTGATGTCCACCAAATGTTGTGAATGACGAATGAACGGCAAAATGTCATCAACGGATGTCACCCGAATACACAATCGTTGGAGGTTAACGCATAATTTGGGAATTTCGTTCACATTTAATACTTTTTTGCGTAATTCAGTCAAGCTAACACAGAAACCAAGATCCTTCAGTTTGGGATTTTATTCTGGTTTTGATTGTGGACAACACGCATTATTCGCAGTTCATCCTTGTTTATATTTGGCACACTACACACAATTCATGTTCTGTTTTCGTATATTCTATTCTATTATTTGTATGACCTACATATATGTTAAATGCCACGATAAGGCAGATGGCCAAATCGGTTTTCAATGTCAAACTTAAATCAGCCGGTTTAATTACTGTCAACAAATGGTCGAATGCACATTTTAGTATAATCATATAAACATTTTGGTGATATTTTTCTGGTTCATTTTCATGATCGTACTCTTGTTGCAAGTCGATCAGGTTTTCGTTTTCACTTATGCTGCCACCGTACTTGACTGAAATGAGAAATGGTAAGTAGAATATGTCAAACATAGCTATGTGCACGTGAGGTTTCAACATTTTTTGAATGAAATAGACTAAATATAGCCAAATACACGTGAGGTTTCAACATTTTTTGGATGAAATAGACTAAATATAGCCAAATACACGTGAGGTTTCAACATTTTTTGGATGAAATAGACTAAATATAGCCAAATACACGTGAGGTTTCAACATTTTTTGGATGAAATAGACTAGAGATAGACGAA